CCACAAGATGCCTTCGAGGCGGGCAAAGAACGGAGGATCCAAGCTAGCTCAAGAGCGGCAGAGCCGGGAGATGAGACACCGGAGACTGGCTCTCTTTATCAAGCAGTTTGAGAAAGAAGGTTTGGCTGAGACTGCTGCTCAAATGTCAGCTTTACATCCTCCAGTTGTCCCTGCTCGGCTGCTAGAAATGGCGAACCTTTTTTTCTTCTTCCTTGCAGCACAAGAGCGTATGAACGAGTTGGAAGGCAAACTGGAGAACATGTTGGCCACAGTGGACAAAGTCTTCAAAGTGGAGCTGATGAAGGTTCCTCTTGCTCTGCAAAAAACACGGATAGGGGAATTATTAAGCGGTGAGTCTTCAGCATTCTTAAGAACCCACGGTGTCACAGATGTTGTATGACATGAACAGTTTGGTGGGTCATGGGCGAGGTCATGTCATGTTGTGTCCCCATAACATGTCCAAGATGTCCGTGTGCCAGGCTAACATGTGACAGAACTAGTAGCTAGTTAGGGTTAGGGTAAGAAGCTTGTTTTTTGTTGACAATGTCAGAAATGTGTTCTTTGTCTATTTAACCTAAATGATGTTCCCCAAAATCTCCCCAAAAGTAGAAATGTGTCCGGGTTCTTTTGGGATAAATTGACTTCCTATGATGTTAGACCATAATATATTGTGTATTGAACTTAAAGGTAGGGTAGGTAAGTTTGAGAAACCGGCTCGAGATACACTTTTTGTTATATTCCATGGAATGCTCTTAACATCCCGATAGCAATGAATATCTTAAGTGCTTTGACAAAAAAATCCATAAAAAAATGTCATCTGTGGAAGCCGTAATACTGTAAAAAGCACGACCAATCATTTTAGCCGGCCCGGCTAAAATAACTGGATGGCCTACCTGCCTGTCAGCCTTCCATCTGTGCACAAACTTATCTCGTGCCCTCATTGGTCATGTGCGCGTTCGTGTGTGTTGGAGGAGGGGCTCTATAAGGAAGTGGCAGATTTTTTCCGGCTGTGTATTTTCAAATTCTAGCGCACTCGAGCTGGTTTCTCCAAAAGTTTGAGAAACCGGCTCGAGATCGCTAGAATTTGAAAATACACAACCGGAGAAAATCTGCCACTTCCTTATAGAGCCCCTCCTCCAACACACACGAACGCGCACATGATCAATGAGGGCACGAGATAAGTTTGTGCACAGATGGAAGGCTGACGGGCAGGTAGGCCATCCAGTTATTTTAGCCGGGCCGGCTAAAATGATTGGTCGTGCTTTTTACAGTACTACGACTTCCACAGATGACATTTTGTTATGGATTTTTTTGTCAAAGCACTTAAGATATTCATTGCTATCGGGATGTTAAGAGCATTCCATGGAATATAACAAAGAGTGTATCTCGAGCCGGTTTCTCAAACTTTACCTACCCAAGGCGTGTCACGGCCGAGGGTTCGGGACACACCAAATTGACTTTGGGCGACAGGGCACGCTTCTTCGCCAGACAACCGAAGACTGCCGATTTCGGCCTGGTGTGTCTGGGCCTTAAGTTAGATTTTGGGGTACTTTATTTGAGTACAGTAGCGTGGCGTGGGGAAAAATTTAGGGGAAGCCCATTTTTTTGGGTTGGGGGGGGGGGGGGTGGTCAATAACGTAACCAGATGAGTGATTACAGCGCCCGGTATCATTTTACACACATTTGTATCACACAGATGCAGAACTTGCACACGCCTGTTATCTAACCGACAGGTCCGCACGCACTCTCCAGCCGAAACAGCACAATCTATGTGATTTTTGGATTTACCGTGCCTCTCAATTGCCCGTGACAGGTTGGCAAGGTCAATGAATCCTGAAGTTGCCCAAGGATTGTTCAGGGAGCACGAATCCTTGTCAAAAAGAAGACATGGCCAGCAAAATAGACGCTGAAGTTTAGCGCTTCCAGTTAGCCACTCCGTGCGGACATAATTGTCCTCATTGAACGTCCGATTCGCTCCCTTTTCCCTCTGTGTACACAGCTCGAGTATGGGCATTGGCCTGTCATCTGATTTAATTTTTAGTTGCTGCTGTAGCGGAAGTTTAGTAAAGTTATGTTTGATTAAGTACGCCAAATCTCCACCCTCCATAATGCTTCATTTGCTTGATAATTTCAAACGGCGGTGATGACCGTTACAGTAGGCTACTACAGTACGTAGTAAAACTGATGTTGATGTGATTTGATTGGATGGCAGTGTCCAATCAAATCGCCAGCCGCCTCTGAAGGGAAGCCAGAGGCGGCTGGCTTCCCTTGGCATGGCCCTGACCAATCACAGGTTGGCAGGGGCATCACGTGGGCCTCATCTGATTGGTCAATCCCTCAATTTTTTTCACCAAGGGAAGTCCGATTCGGCTGGCTTCCTCTTGCAACAGTGAATGCAATCTACTGTTTCACCATAACATCTAGAGGGGCGCTGTTTGGTTCACTCTTTGTAAAATACTCAATGAGAGTGGGGGAGAGACGGGCCGGCAGCAACACACAGCAAAGGAGAATTATCAAAACAAAACAAAGTGTATTTATTTATTTAAATTATAACTACAATCCGAAAAAACAGGGGAAGCCTGGCCTCCGGGAGAAAACGCCACTGTTTGAGTATATCAATTTCATGCTACTTTTATCCTACATTTTAGAAGCCAATATCGTACTTTCTGCTCGACTACATTTTATTTATTTAAAAAAAAAAAAGTTACTTTACATATTCAGATTATAAGCTAATATAAATACATAAACTATGATATACAATTATATGTTAAGATATCGAGCAGCAGTGTATAAAGTCATTCAATTAAGATCCACCTTTACCAGCTGTTATAGACACATGAATGCATACATAATCCATATACAGTAATTGATTCTGAAATGGGACATTACGCACAAAAAGTTATTTTAATTTTGGTACTTTATAGTTTGATGTGAATACTTTTGTGCTTCTACTTGTATGCAGGATTTGTACTCGTAACGCAGTATTTTTACATTGTAGTATATCTACTTTTACCTAATTAATACTTCTTTCACTACTGATTTCCATCCCCCTGTATTCTTTTAGAGGACTTCTCAGCCAGTGACGTGTCAATTGCCATGAAGGTGAGTCTAAGTCTCACCTGCTGCCATCTTGAGTTTTGTTTTTAATATAACAGAAGTAATCATTAACTGATGTTGCAGAATGAGTCCCGAGAGATTCACATACCCCTCAGGAGGACCCACAGTAAAATAGGTACAATTGTTTTCCTATGAAAAATGTTTATTTTGATTATGAAGTTAAATGAAACGCAGTTGTTTGAAATTAAACTTAAAGCATCTTCTGTTTTTGAAGTACAATCAACTGACTCTTCACCGGTTTATGGCTCACCGGTTTATGGCTCACCAGTCCTGACGCCCTCAGCCAAGACTTCCAAGGTAAGCAGTTGATCAACTCGTATTTGCCAAAAAGAGGGGGCTAACCGTTTTTAACCTGAGTTTCATATCAAATATTAGTTTGCTTTTAAATATTCTTTCGAGACAAGTTTTGGTATCCACAAGATTAGTCTAAACATTGCTTTTTCCCTATATTTTTAGGGAGGAAAAGCGACAAAAAAGAGCAAAACATTAGTTGAAAGTAACAGCACTGGAAATATCAGGTAAGATTTGACGTATGGTTGTGCGAGGTACTTATCCATAGTCAGTATATCACACAATAGATGGACATTTGGAGAAATCAATAAGAGTACAAGGATGAAGAAAATAAATGAGTGGATGAGGCCAGCAGCAAAACCTTATTAACCCACATAAGAACTGTCTACACTACCTACCTGATGTATATTTAGATTTGAGAGCCTTGAAAGGCGCCTATATAAATAAAATGCATTATTTATTTTTTCGCTTTACCTGGCTAAAATACAATACACATTGTGGTACTGGTACTCCTGTTGTCTCCAAACTGCCATCTTCTGAATATAAACCTTTACCTTTGGTAAATGAGTATTTATGCATTGACACTGCCTTTATTTTCTCCAGGGGCACCCCAGCCACTGTCAAGAGAACTCGGAGCCTCTTGGCCAAGAACAACGAGCAGACCCGAGCAATCATACCGAAACTCAGGTCTGGTCCTGCCTGCAGTAGAGCGGCCATGTTTTATAGCCTTTACAATGCAGGCATGAAGATTGTTTTTATTTTCAATAATTGTTCTTGTATTTTAATGGATTGTGTCCCAGGTCTGTGGTCTCTGCTGGAGATCTGCACTGTTCCATGGCCAGCTCTGCTGCGCACATCACTGTCACCACAGCACAGGGACAGGTACTCTACACTTTGCACCAACTGGAAAAAGGCAATGCTGTGTCCTTATTTTTTTCAAAGAAAGTTAATTTAAACCAAGCCTTCCTTACCCAAGGAGACTTTTTAGTTTGAATGTAAGGGCTAAATATACCTGGATTATGATCTGATCCACTAACTTGTATGCATGTGTTGTTTTCAGGCCCTCTCCTTTTCTGAAGACACGCAGGAGGACATGGACGTTGATCTGCTGGATCACGAAGCATTGTGCCAGTTTAGGAGGCTCAAGGTAGTACTTTTAAATTCAACTTACTGTGTGATGAGTTATCTCATTTCCCGAAAAGGTTCAAAGCTTTGTATATATTTGTATATTAAAGTATATTGCTAAACCTTTGAAAAACATCATTCATTCTGGGTTTTCAGAATCTGATGGACAATCTGTCGAGGCGAAGTCGCTGCCAGCGATAAAGATCAACTGACCAGCACTATTTTAACTGTTAATGTTTTATGAAATGAGTCTGTTTGTTTTTAAATTTTAATAAAGCTCATTTTTAATTATTCTAAATGATTGTCATTTAATGCCAATTTCAAAATGTATCAAATGCATGGATGCAGATTAAGAGAATATCATTTGATTAATTTAATTTGCATTGCTAAGATGTAAATGGGGGTGTTAAAACATGTGAGAGAATTATAGGCATAGCAAAGAGGTGAAAAAGATGTACTTTACTGGACATGATTAGGATTTTTATTGTGGATAATTGTGTAAAAAAACTTGAGATCTTGCCGTGTGTATTTAATGAATAGGTAAATATTAGCCATTACTTTGTCTGAATTTCAAAGCTAGACTAGGGAAACAAAAGCAAATTCAGATGTTTATTGTGAGGGGAAACAAGCTCATTGTAATATTAATTCCAGTAAGTTTATGTAGAAAGCACCAGATTGGGGAGCAAATAAAATGCAATTTTAACAATAATTACACATTTAAAAAAAGTATAAAATAGCATTGACATGGAATTTAAGAGAGTTCAATCTTTGCCTAAAAAGCAAAATATGCTACTTAAAACTGGAATGCATTCCTATCGCTGATGGGACTGCAGCGACTCCATCTCCACCTCCATGGGCTTCTGTCGCTGTGATTGGGCGTAGGCAGAGCTGGAGGACGAGGCGCTTGAAGCCGGTGTGTGAGGGGGCTCCGGGGCCATGCGGGAGTAGAAGGGCCCGACCAGCCAGTTGAGCGGCGTGTTGTTGACCAGGTAGTCCATCACCTTGTCCAGGGAGTCCTTCATCCGGCCCAGCTGCACCCTGCTGGTGCTCAGCACGCTGTCAGGCAGCTCCCTCAGGGTGGAGGCTGCACTGAAGCTGCTGTACACCTGGGAGGCGGAGCAGCTCAGGGACAGCGCCTCCTGCTGGATGTGGAGGGGGAGACCCTGCAGGCCGGAGACCAGGCCCAGGCAGGTGGTCTGGAGCTGCTGGGTGAGGGAGCGGGCCAGCGTCAGGGTGCGGGACTCGATCGCCTGAGAGGAGGGGGAGGGACAGATTTACATCACCTGACACACTTTACCTTCAAGAAACAAGGGAGGTGCAAGGTTGTAATGGTTTTGAATTTAATAGGATTTATTTTTAGTTAAGACTTTTCTGTATGTCAGGTTTAGTTTGCTAGTTCAAGTTTATATCTTTAGTTTTGCTGTAGTTTTGTGTTTGTTAAGACACTATCTCACTAGTATGTAGCTACACGAACATGGGTGTAGGAATGGCCATAACGTTTAACTCTTTTGATTTGGGAATCAACTTGAGTTGTCCTTAATTCCCAAATGTGGAAGATGATCACTTTTAGAGTTGAATAGTTAAAAGGCATTTGATAAATCATGTTATTAATTTTGCAAGACTACACTGCATTTGATAACCAATAGTGATTAATTTTGGAGCCTTTAAGCAAAGCTCAATCTGTTTGATGGTCAAGTCTGTGCAGTTTCTGTGGTCTAATGTCCGGAGAGCTGATGTAAAACCCTGCTCTTTTTTTTCTGTAGTATAATGGCTAAAAAAAACAATACATTTCACGAAAATATCAATACTTCGCTTTTTCTTAACAAAATAATGCTTTGCTTTAGTTTACTGTACTAACCCTGGTGTGGTATAATCCACAAAATGGGTCCATAAAATAGACAGATTAAAGGTGGGGTAGGTACATTTGAGAAACCGGCTCGAGATACACTTTTTGTTATATTCCATGGAATGTTCTTAACATCCCGATAGCAATAAATATCTTAAGAAAAAAATCCATAAAAAAATGTCATCTGTGGAAGCCGTAATACTGGAAAAAGTACGACCAATCATTTTAGCCGGCCCGGCTAAAATAACTGGATGGCCTACCTGCCTGTCAGCCTTCCATCTGTGCACAAACTTATCTCGTGCCCTCATTGGTCATGTGCGCGTTCGTGTGTGTTGGAGGAGGGGCTCTATAAGGAAGTGGCAGATTTTTTCCGGCTGTGTATTTTCAAATTCTAGCGATCTCGAGCTGGTTTCTCCAAAATTACCTACCCCACCTTTAATGTGTGATCTTGTTGTGTGTTAGTGTTACCTCTGCCTCGTAACCGTTGTGCTGGTTTGGACCGTTGGACTTCAACACAGACTGAGAGTTCAGCTTGTTGTTCACCATCTGGTTAGCCCCGTCAATATTCCTCCTGCCATATTCGATCTAGATAAAAAAAAAAAAAAACATACTTTATTAGCCTCTCACCATAAGCAGTAGAAAAAATGATGTTCTTTTTATAAGCCACTTTAGGGCTGAATGAAGTTCTTTTTATTACCGGTGTGCAGTTGTAGAAGTTTGTGTGTGTCAAAGGAGATTTGTCTTTATTGTAAAGTGTCTGAATGTATGACTCTGACTAAAGAGACCCACCAGGTCGACGGTGGAGTTGAGCTCGGAGATGAACTGCACGCTGCGCTGCTTGCGGTCTCTGATCTTGGCCATGGCTCTGGTGTACGCTCTCTTCCGGAGTTTGGTGGAGAGGGAGCCCAGGCGGACGTAGTAGCTCGCCTCCTCCCGGTCAAATCCTGTCGCAGTTTCTGCCTCCAGCTCTGTCACCAGAGAGGGAACATCAAAGTTAGGTCACACAAAATCTGATAACCAAGTTATTTTATGATGTTTGACAGTGTTGCTTCTCTACTGAATTGAGAGTGCTGGAAATTACTGTAGTTTATTGCAATGTAGTCATACACCTGTCAATTCCTTTAATAAGATCAATTTTTTTATGTTATACATTTTTTCATGGGATACCATTATTCACTGTGAACAAGGATGGCTTTAATGATTGAAAAACTGGCCACTATTACAAATATTCATTCTCAGAAAAGCTAGAAAAGTCAGATTTTCCTGGAAACTGGTTAATAGGTGACCCATGATAAAGCTACTACAGAGCCTTAAGCCCTTTATTTATTATTGATTGCTTTTTCAATATCTATTGAGGTAATGTTTTTTTACGTCCACTTTCTAACCATTAACATTACAGACTGTTTCCACCTCCATAATATTGTAATTTATTTTCAGAAAAAAGACAAAACGCACAATAAACAAAGTAAAAGATACATTCGACTCAAAATGTTCTATTTCTATGTAAAAGTTGATCTCTTTATCATGAATTATTTTGGACACAATAAGTGTGTAGTGAGACTCTGTATTGTAAAAATAAATCTGAGCAGCCACTAAGAGGTGATCAATTATTGAACTTTTCACCACGCCAGTTAGAAGAAAAAAGGGATGCCTGTGTTCAGTGTGTAGGTGTCGTTGTTTGTCCCCTCACCCAGCTCGTCCTCCGTCAGAGGCAGGTACTGCTCCACCAGGCTCTCAGACGTGCTGAGGGCGGAGCCCACGCCGATGCTCACCATCCGGGCCACTGTGTTCACCAGCACCGTGCTCACACTCCCACTGACCGCAGCACGAGTCTTATCCATCCCATCATACACCGCGCCCCGCACACTGCTCAGAGTGCCCGACACGGAGTCCTTGGCCCCGGACACTCGCTCCGTCACCGCCCCTGTAGCCGTGGTTACCACATCCTTGGCACTGGAGACAATCTGGGTGAGGAAAGAGCAGTGGAGGACGTGACTCAGGACAGATACGACATTGAGCAATTTATGATTCTGTAATCTGACCTTTGACTCATATTGCTCATTCAGAACAGCTCATACACAGGTTAATATAGGTTACTAAAACTCAACTTGGAAAGTAAAACTAAGTGTGACATTTTTTATAAAAGACTGTTTTATTACAAAAATATACAGGAAATGTTTTAGCCTTTTATTAATTTGGTCAAATCTATCATTACTTGATCAATTGCTTGTTTGTATTTTAAATGTTTCTAAATGTTACGCCTGACATACACCCCCATTTGATATATATATATATATATATATATATATATATATATATATATATATATTTTCCATCTCCACCTCCATGGGCTCCTGTCGCTGTGATTGGGCGTAGGCAGAGCTGGAGGACGAGGCGCGTGAAGCCGGTGTGTGAGGGGGCTCCAGGGCCATGCGGGAGTAGAAGGGCCCGACCAGCCAGTTGAGCGGCGTGTTGTTGACCAGGTGGTCCATCACGTTGTCCAGGGGGCCCTTCATCTGGCCCAGCTGCACACTTAGTTTTACTTTCCAAGTTGAGTATATATATATATTGTTTTTTTAAACAAATGAATACTGAATCTAATCAAAACTCAAATAAAGCTACTTTGAGACAAAAGATGTTCGACCAATACAAACTAAACCTTACCGAGCTGAAAACTGAATTAAAAACAAATAATTAATATAAAATGAAATATATTAAATATTCAAAACTATTGTAACTCTTGTTCATACCTGCTCAGATGGCTGGTGAAGAATCGGCAACGTCTTCTCGATTTTATCCAAACCTTTGCAGGCCAGGTCATTGGCAATGGCAACTATAGGCAACAAAAATGTAGAGAAGTAAATAAGCTGTTAGAAGAAATCAATATATAAATGTAATCTGAAAATACTAGGGAGAAAAGTGCTTAAATGTTTTTTTAAGTAAAAGAATTAGGGTAATTATGAGTAAACACAGAAACTAGGTGAAAGATCATGGTGAGTAAGCAGCCTGACGTGAACTTCCTGTTTCTCCTCTGTGACTCAGCTGCATTAAATGAATCCATCAGTTTCAGGATTTGTTTTGAACTGCTACACACTTTGTGATGTAAAAGGAAAGAGGTTTCGTACTCTGCGGCTCCAGCTTGTCGATGATGGGTGAAGCGGTGGTGAAAGCCACAGAGGTGATGGTGCGCACTCCCTGCTCCGCCGCCTCACACACACTCTTTAAGTAAGGGTGTGTGTCCTTGGTGTTGGAGTACACGCTGGACACCAGGCCGTAGGTGGAGATCACCAGAGGGAGGCTGGTCACCCTGTCCACCACACTCTGAGAGGAGATATAAAGAGAGGAGGCTTAACATACTTAAACAAACAATTAACTCTGTTTTAAACTTATAATATAACCTGATGTTTCTAAATTGATTATATAGGTTGATTAAACGATCCACAGAAAAATCTTGATGACTGAGTTATTATTCTTCATAAATAAATGTTGCTTTTATTATCTATTTTCTCTGTTTCTGTTCAATATCAAGATAAATAAAATACCGGTGGGCTTTGGACTGACAAAACAATACATTTAAAATAATGAAATAATTGGAAGAATAATCAACTTATTGCAGCCCTATTCTCTATTCCAATTCGTTGTCAAATAATATTTTTTTTAAAACGTGGAATATTTCATACTTTTAAAATGTATAACATGTTTGTTTTAAATAAAAAAATTGAGGCTTAAACCATTTGCATCACTATGTAGGCTATTATAACTTACATTTGTTGTTGCTTTGCTTCAAAAGCAGTTTTTCCTCCAGCAAATATTAACTACTGTAGATAAACTCAATAATAGTGTTTTACAGTAAAGAGTATTTATTATAGTAAACTCACCTGGTTAGAGATAACTGCAGCTGCTGCCATGTCTGCTAAAACAAAACCTACAGAGAGAAAAGACACAATATGAACATGGTGTGTTCAAAATAAGAGAAAAATGTATTAACCCAATCGAATAGGCTACTTAACAAAAATGAAAAGTCTATTACTTCCGTATTACAGTCTGTCGTTAAAGCATTATTATATGTCCCGTAAGTTCACAGAAACAGCGGAACTATAGTGAAAACGTTCATAAATAAACTTAAAAGATATAAAGGTAGAGACTCACCGATAGTTTCAGTTCTTCCAAACTGTAATGAGCTGACTGATGAAAGTGTGAGGCGACAGCAGCTGTATTTATGTAGTGTTGTTTTCGCGAGATGTGACGCGGCACAGTGACGTCAACGTCAGTAAAGTTTCTGGGCCAAAGGTGAAACGGGTAAAAATGTTGTCGGGGAAATTCCTCTCAGGCCAGCCGTCACGTGGACACATTTCATAATCCAGGGAAATGTTTCTGTCTAATGAGGATTATTAGGGTTTTTAAATGTCTGGTCAAGTACCGGTATTTGAAAAACATAAATTCATCCACAAGCAACAGCTTTTAACTATTGATAGTTGTTCTTTTGATTGACAGTTTTACATGATGTTCTATAGAGGAACATTACTATTATTGTTTTATACCTACGCTAAATACATTTCAGAAAGCATTTGTTTATATATTGTTAATGCTATAAATGCTAAATTGTCTATGCCCAGTAAATATTTATTGATATATTGTTGGTCTTAAAACGGCATTTTCATACCTATTTTAACAAATAATCGCTACTGAGTAGGGATACTGTTCTTTAGTGGCTTGTGTTCTAGAACAAATTAGCAATCGATCAAATTATCATTGTACACACAGTGGTCCTGGAGACAGCTTTGAGTACACAGGACTTTGTGTGGCAGGTCAGACAGGGCTCTTTTTTTGTTACAAATGTAGGGGTAACTAAATGTTATGGCACCAAACTACATGATTTATAGAGTACCTTCACAGTCATAATGGTTTAAAGACCATTGGATGAGATGATGATATTAATTGTGTTGGTCACCAAGCTTTAAAGGCTTTGACGAAATCAAGGGCCTTTGAATTAGTTTATATATTCTATATATCGGCTTTGTCAACATTCACTTGCATTATCTGTAAAGATTGCATAGATGCTAATAAATGAAATGCCAGCCCATATTTATTGGCCTAAAAAATTAAAGTGGACCTCTCATGCTATATTTGAATAATATAGTGTAGGACCATACCTATATAAGGCATATTTATACCCTTTATTTTTCAAAATACCAAACAGATCATGCATTTTAGCCATGCCTCATTTTGCTCAATTTAACAATTTCTAGCTCTGTTTTTGCAAGGGCTGATTCTGTGAGAACAGCACCATCTACTGGCCTGGCATATGTACTACAGCGTCTCCAGCGCTTTCGAACGGCAATGGCCGTGGTGTCTCCTCCTGATTGGTGGAGTTATCAGATCCGTTGCAGCCCCTTTTTTAGAGATTTGGGTATGGAGGAAAATAGAGAGGGTTGTGTTTTCTGACACTTAGTGAGTTCCCTGGAACACCGGGGACACATATTCATGTATAAAAGACGTACAAAAGTGCATTTTGCATGATAGGTCCCCTTTAAGTTTAGTATGTTGTGCTAAATAAGAGTTGTTATAGTGTTTGGCAATGTGAGGGTATATAGGCCAACTGTGACTTTGAGTGAACATTGTATGAATACAATGCATATCATGCAATGCATTAAGCCTTGTAAAAAATGTCTTCAACATTTTCCCAGGATGAGTTTTAAGGCCTTTTCACAGCAGTAGCTTTTCGCAAAAGAAAAAGCAGGTGTTACTAATAACACTAACTATGGCTTTGTTATATTGGACAATGACATCATGTGTCTTGCTGCAATGTAATGTCACAAAACACAAAAAGTAGTTTGTATGATCTATATGTTTTTAATCCTCCATGTCAGTTTTTTAAGGATAGTGTTGTAGCTGAATACTTGCTATGACGCTATTTATGAGAAACATTAGTGGTGATATTTTGGAATTGGTGAAAGACATTTAACCAACCTAACACCTCACTAAGAACATTTCTGAGTACTCAACTAAATGGCCTTTGTAGCCCCAAACGTCAGTGGTTTGTCCGCAGATGAACAGCTCTGTGTTTGCCAGTAGCTCGACGAAGCCAGATGTGTGACTGCAAATAATTATTGTGTTATTAAAAATGTAAATGAAGTGTTAAGGCAGCAACACATTTGGAGGCCAGATGAGGAAACATGGGCTCAACTCAGATTCTCCAGTTGGCGAACATTCTGTAGATGGACCCTTTAGGGCCCATTTATCAGTCCTCGTAACTCTAATAGACGGCGTATGAAAATATTGGCTGCAGTAAAACACAGACTTTCATTTTAATAAAATTCTGTCTGAAGGAAGTTTGTGGGAGAACATTTTAAGTGAGGTGTCATTTATTTAAGAACTATAAAGGAGTGACAGTCCACTGTAATATACAGTATGTAGGCCTACAGTACCAGTACACACACACACACACGTACACACACGTACACACACACACACACACACACACACACACACACACACACACACACACACCACGTTTGATTGGACATTGATCTGCTCATATTTTATTGTCCACGTCTTACTTATTTAGTTGCATTAATAATGTGATGTGATTGCGAGCAAAGTACAACCAGTTGATCAAGAATTATGACTCATCAGGAGTACATGATCAAATATTTTATTTTCTCAAGGCTGGATAGGTTAAAGGTCCCATGACATGACCATTTCTACTGATCATAATTCCATTGTTGAGGTCTTCTAGAATAGATTTATATTGTGCAATTTTCCAAACTCACATTGGTTTCTCATACAGCATCTCTGTAATGTGTATTCACTCTCTGTCCTATACGGCTTGTTGGAGCTCTTGCCCCCCCCCTCCCTATGAGCCCAGTGTGCTCTGATTGGTCAGCTCGCCCACTCTGTTCTGATGAGTCCACCACCGTTACAGCGGAACATCAGTGATTATGTGTTACAATGGCGTTAGCAACCAGAAAATGACAGCAGTAATGACAAACAGATGAGAATGCTGCGTGGGGTCTGGGTGCCGTGTTGCAGTGGCGGCGCCAGAGATGTTCTTTTGAGGGTGCTGTGGGGTAGCTTGACGTTTCATAGAGGGTGCCCAAACATTTAGGGTTTCCCATTAATGTAGCGGGCGCTACAGTTTAATTTTCTACTGCAACACTCCCCACACGCACATACACAGTACACCCGCGACTGTTACAATGAAGGCTCGATAATCAGCTCACGGCAAGCAGGGGTAAAGTGCTATTTTTTTTAAGTGGGGTTTTTTTTAATATTGAAATTAAATGCATCAATCTGGTGCACTTTGAGAGTAAAATTAAGAGATCTATGGATACCTCTCAACACCCATATGAAACAGAACTGTAAACAGATTTTCTTTTTCTTTATGGATATTTTACGAATCACTCCCCTTTTAAACTGTATCCTTGTTTTACTGTCATATAGTATTTCATACCTGTTTTTCATTTATGCTCTTATACCTATAATGATCATATAAACGTGTGTCTCGGAAATACGTATTTACATTAATCGTGACCAAACCGTTTGAGACACACTGAGATAACTTAGACTTAGCATCCCCCTGGCGCCGCCTATGCCGTGTCGGCGGGACGTTGCGAGGCTCGCTGCTGCGAGGAGCGGACAGTGTGAGCTGGCTTACGGCGTGCGTTGAAACTTGCCGGTGGGCGCGTCTGAAACTCGACCAACAACCAATCACATGAATCTCCCGCCCCGGACACACAAGCACGCGGTTTGATTGGCTAGAGCTTGTACTGGCATATGATTTGATTGGCTGACGCTTCCGTCGAAGCTTCAAAAGTTGAACATTGCTCAACTTTTGAAACGAGCAACGCGAGCAAAGCGAAGCAATGGAACCAATGCAGTTCGGCAAAGCGTGACGTCACCCCATTCAAAGTGAATGGGCGGCCCGTCCAAACAGCGGCGTGCGTTTAAGCTTGGCGGTGGGCGTGTCTGAAGCTTGGGGAGTTCTCGCAAGCAACGCGACCAACATACAGTTTACGAAGTAAACTGGATATAAACTCCCCAAACAGGCGAAAACCTACCAGTTTCACCCACTATCTCTGCCACCTCCCTCCATGCCTGGCTCCTCCGGTTTGTATCCCGGTAGGTGAACAGGGACTGATCGTACAAGACCGGGTGATTCCCTACCGCTATGATTAATTTCTCCTCCATTTTTGGGAATATGAGGAAATTACGTGGTTTGGGATTGGGCCTGAGTGTGTGTGTGTGAGGAAGTCCGCGTAACGGCTCCGCGGATTGGTCCATTGGGTCGTCGTTACGTCACTTGGTTCCCGGAAGAAAAAAATGGAAAAAGACAAATCTCCAACGAGGCGTTCTGGGGCAGCATAGACAGGTCTTTTCTGTGTTAGAGTTTTACTCGCTACAGGGTGTACTTTGAGGGTTTGTGACTTTGCAGACCATTTACATGCATAACAAGCTACATAACATACAAGGGGACGGTTAATAACCGGAAAAGCATGTCATGGGACCTTTAAGTTACCAAAGGAAAAATCCATATATTCTCAAAAAATACACCAAAAGAAATGTACCAATGTATTTTTATTATGTATTTATTTCAACAAGGACCACCATGCATACAATATATTAATCTCAGAAAATAGAAGAGATGAATTATGCCAGATTTTAGCTAATAGCTCATTTCCATCTGCAGTCCTTATCAAGGAACACTGCATTTATCAGACCGCAAAGAAGTAACGTTACACTACATTACACTACGTTACACTACGTTACATTACGCTACATTAGGCTATGCTACTCTATGCTACGCTACGCTAAGTTACGCTACATTATGCAACGTTACCTTATGTTATGTCAAAGAAGTTGAATAACACAAATATCATATAAGAAGTATGCAACACATTTTTTTATTATTGACATTGATTGCTGTCTGATAATATTCCTTCCGTCTCAGTTTTTCTGTGATATGTTCAAACATGTATGATAGGCTATTATAATTTGAAACCAGCATCAGGGAAAATATTCTGTTTTAAAGTGCCATTTTACTGACTAAAATATAACTGTCCCTGTTTTCAAAGCACTTGGATTCTGGTTAGATTCAAACATAAAAGTTACCTGTGGTCATTTGTATTTCCTAGGAAAATATATGGTGTAGGCTACTTTAAATTGTATCACATGCTTTTTAAGCATCAAAGTGATTGAAAACCAGTGGACAGTGGCGCTACCTATTGGGCCAACTCCACCAA